GGACTTGAACCTCCAGCCTTTTGGTTAGCAGCAGAGCATGCTGAACATTTGCACCACCCAGGGACTCCTTTCTTAATGAATACCACACTTAAAAGCACCTACAGGTGCAACCCTTAAAATAGTAAATTAACAGGCTAGGCTCTAATGGTGAGCAGGAAGGAGGTGGCCACTTTATACATTAACAGACATGAACAGAAACAGCATACTTAGCATACATAACATTCTTAGGGACAAACAAGTTCTCAGGTTCTCCCTGGAGTAATTCTACTCACAGAATCACACTGCTTTGAGCTAGCTAGCCTTAAGGCTCAAGAGGCAACACAGCCAATCTTCTGACTCATCTTTCCCAGTAATAAAGTCACTGTTTAGACCAACTCCTGACCTGTGGTTACCCAAATCCATTGTCCTCGAATGAGTACTGGATATAACCAAACTCACCAGCCCATGGAGGAGAAAAGCCTTTAGGTTATGGGAAAATTAAGACACCATTGAGAAATCTGGTTTTTGCAGAGAGCACGTACCCACTTGCATAAGCTAGATGAGGGTGGCTGTTAGTGCTTGAAAGTACAACCCCGGGGCTTGGCAGAAAGCCGTTCTGGATTTGAGTCCTCTTGCAAGGCCCCCCGGGGAGGGATGGGTGCACTTTCTCCACCAGAAGGGAATTTTAGTGGCTGCGCTACTTTTTTCTTCAGCACAAAGCTCACTCTTGTATCCCTTCATTGGATTTCCACAGGTCTAAAAAAGGGGGCGGGGAAGCGGGTGCCTGAAAGATGATTAGGGTGAAGCCCAGAGGTGACAGGGACCGCAGTGGGTGAGATGGAGACGTACTCTGTGGCACAGCTTGGGAAAGTTTAAAGAAGGCAGCAGACAAACGAAAGACACAGGCATCTGGGACTCGTGATCCCTTCTAAACGACTCTCCCCACTTTTGGAGTAAAGTCTCACGGTCTGTAAGGCAGGGGTCAGAAAAGACTTGGCTGCCTGAGATGCCGAAGTAGAGGTCCACCAGCGGTCTGCTGTAACGTCGCTCAGGATTGTGGCGGGGTCAGCGGCGAGCGCCCCTCCCAGCTACCAAGCCGCGCTCGGGCTCGACTCCAGGCACCACCCGGGGCTGCCTCGCGGGCGCAAAGATCTCCAGGACCACCCGCCACCCGCCACCCGCCACCGCGGCGCCCCGGGCCCTCAGGCGGCCTGGGAGGGGCCTGGGGGAGCGGCTCCACCCCGGTCTGGGACCCGGCTACGGGTCGCGGGCTGGGGACCGGGTGTCCTTCCCCGCGCCCACCGGGCTTCTAGGAATCCTGCGCGCGGCGGCAGGCGCCCTGCGCCCGGACCCGGAGGGCCAGAGTCGGCTGCCCCCATGCTCCTCTCCCCGGCCCGCGAGCCATGGGAAGGCGCGCGGGGAGCGGGCAGAGGCTGCAGCCTGCCGGGAAAGCGCGCCGGGAGCGGGCAGGCTGGCTCCCCGCGCACGGGCGAGAATGGCGCGCAGAGCGCGGCCACGGCGGGAAGGGGAGCTGGGTAAGGCCCCGCGAACCGCGGGACGAGTCCCACCTGGAGCCGGGGCTACCGAGGAGGAGAAGGAGACGGCGGCTGCTGGAAGAGAGAGTCGTCATAACCGGCTAGTGCCGCTCACCGGAAACCTCGGGCGCTCGAGCTGGGCCAGGGGGCGCCAGGGAGCAACTGGGACATCTTCGGCAGCCTGCGCCCGCGCTCTGTCGAGGGAATTGCTCGGCGCGGAGCCCGAGGCAGGGAGCGCCCTCAACCCGCGGCTGCAGCAGGAAGGGGACTGCAGGCCCTTTCTGTTTCGCCTAAGGTGAGCGGAGAGCCTCTGACCCTGCTTCCGAAGCTAGACCCGAAAGAAGCGGGATTTAAAGGAGCTGGACCCCATCGATCTCAGCAACCTGCTCGTCCTTGCTTGGAAGAAAGAGATAAAGCGCTTAAAAGACACTGGGGCAGGGCAGGTAGAACATCTGACTCCGTTTTCGTCTTCATTCTGATTGCGGGGGTGTTTTTACTGTTTTGCTAGTTTAGGCAGAAGTTGTCGCCCTAACTTTCCAATGTGGGGCCTGAACGTGGTTAGCAGCAGACACTTGTAGTGATGAGGATCCTTTGGAGCCCACACACATTTTAAAGAAGGATACTTGCCTATGTCTGTACCTGTCCGTTAACTCGTCATGACCAAATGCTAGCCTCTGGAGTTTATCATATTTTGTTGTTAATTTATAATTATTTGAATAATTGTTCATTTTTATTATTTTATTATGATTATTTGAATGCCTGTCTCCCAGTCGTCTTTTGGCCGGCTCAGTTCTGGCACGCTGCCTTGTATATCAGACAGCATCATGGAATTGATCATTAAATACCGATTTAACTTGAACTGATTAAATCAAGGAATTAATGAATTTTGGTACCATCAAAAATAAACTTGTTCTCATACACATAAAGTTGTCAGTATTGAAGAGTCATAAGGAAACTCAGCAGTTTAGCAGTTTATTTCCAATAGCTTATGTGCTTTTTTTTTTTTTGTACTTCAGGCGAAGGCTTACAGAACAAATAGTTTCTTGTGAAACAGTAGTACACATATTGTTTTATGACATTGGTTAACAACCCCACAACATGTCAACCCTCTCCCTTCTTGACCTTTTTTTTTTTGGTGAAACTACACATAGCCAAAGATACACCATTTCAAAAATTTCTATATGCATAGTTCAGTGACATCGACTACACTCTTCCAATTGTGCTATTCTCACTTTAGATGAAGGCTTACAGAACAAAATAGTTTCTCATTTAACATTTAGTACACGTTACCCTATGACAATGGTTAACAATCTCACAACACATCAACACTATCCTTACTCAACCTTGGGTTCCCTATCACAAGCTTCTTTGTCCCCTTTTGCCTGCTGTGCTTTTTTTTTAATAATAAAAAATTTAAATGCTATTATGAGAATTGTTACAAGTTCCAGTTAGGGATTAGCTAAATGAGGAATATTATCTGGATTTTTTTTTCCCCAAATAATACCAACAGCAAAAACATATATGTTACTTAGCATGTGCCAGCCACTATTCTAAACCAGTTTACAGTATTAGTTTATTCTTTATGTAAAAAACTTTGCCCTATAAGGAAGCTACTACTCTATTATACTTTGTCCATCCCATACTAATGACAGTAATTTTTAAAAATGCTTTCTCAGCCTACTTGCCACCATCCTATTTTTGTCATGTACAGGAAATGTAGCTTTCCTGTTGGTTAATTTAAAATGTAATCATTTAAAATAAATTTTTAAACAAGTTGGTTTTCCACTGAGTGATGGGTAATAAAAAGAAAAAAAGTAATATATTGAGAAAGGTTCCTAAAAATAAGTTAGTCTTAATTGCAAGGATATACAAACCAATCAGATTGGCATGGCTTCCACATGGTGCTATTTTAAATGCCTCCATATTGAGTAGTGGTCACTCAGACTCAGGAAAGGAAGATATGTTCTGAACATTGAAACACGAGGTACAGTTCTATCTTACTGCAGCAGCCATTCTCAACATAGTCAATGTTAAAATTTAGTTTTAAACTTACTTCAAATTGACATTACAATAAACTCAGATATCTGTCTATCAATAGGAGACCGGCTGAATCAACTGTGGTATGTCCGCACAACGCTGAACTATGCAGGTGTTAAGAATATGTTGTTATTAAATGCCATCAAGTCGGTTCTGACTCATAGCTACTCTGTGTGCAACAGAGCGGAACGTTGCTTGGTCCTGTGTCATGTTCACAGTAGTAGGTGTGTTTAAGCCCATTGTTGCAGCCACTGTATCAATCCATCTCAGTGAGGGTCTTCTTTTTCACTGACCCTCTGCTTTACCAAGGATGATGTTTTTCTCCAGGGATTGGTTCCTCCTGATAACATGTCCAAAGTAAGTGAGACTGAAGTCTCACCATCCTTGCTTCTAAGGAGAATTTTGGCTGTACTTCCCCCAAGAAAGATTTGTTCATTCTTCTGGCAGTCCATGATATATTCTTCACCAACACCGTAATTCAAATGTGTCAATTCTTCAGTCTTCCTTTTTCATTGTCCAGCTTTCACATGCACGTGTATTGATTGAAAAGACTTGGATCATGCATATGAGGCTCTTGGCTTGGGTCAGTCACACCTGAGTCATCAAAGTGACATCTTTGGTTTTTAAGATTTCAAAGAGGTCTCTTATAGATCTTCCCAATGCAATATGTCATTTGAGTCCTTGACTCCTGCTTCCATGGGTATTGATCATTGATCCAAGTAAAATGAAATCCTCAACAACTTCAATATTTTCTGCATTTATCATGATGTTGTTTATTGGTGCAATGTGAGGATTTTTGTTTTATGTTGAGGTGCGATCTATACTGAAGGCTGTAGTTTTTGATCTTCATCAGTGTTTCAAGTCCTGTTCACTTCTGGCAAGCAAGTGAATGGAGAGCAGCTAAAGTGAATGGAGGAAATGAGGGAAAAGCTGACGGGAAGATTTCAAAGGGCAGCTCGAGAAAACAGAGGAAAGTATTATAATGAAATGTGCAAAGACCTGGAGTGAGAAAACCAAAAGGACACACTCAGCATTTCTCAAGCTGAAAGAAGTGAAGGAAAAACTCAAGGCTCAAGTTGCAATATTGAAGGATTATGGGCAAAAAACTGAATGATGCAGGAAGCATCAAAAGATGGAAGGAATACAGAGTCACTGTACCAAAAGGAACTGGTCCATGATCAACCATTTCAGGAGGTAGCATATGATCAAGAACCGATGGTATTGAAGGAAGAAGTCAAAGCTGCACTGAAGGCATTAGTGAAAAACAAGGCTCCAGGAACTGATGGAGTACCAATTGAGATGCTTCAACAAATGGATGCCAACACTGGAGCTGCTTGCTCGTCTGTGCCAAGAAATTTGGAAACAGCTACCTGGCCAACAGACTGGAAGAGATCTATATTCGTGCCCATTGCAAAGAAAGGTGATTCAATGGAATGCAGAAATTATCAGTCTTTATATATTGCAGGATATGTTATTGAGTGAAAAAAGCAAGGTATCATATGACCTTGAGCAAGTTACTTTTCTTCTTTTTTAAAATCGAGATAATAATGGAATCACCCTTAAAAAGTTGTTTTCATTATAAAATGCAGGTCCACAATCCCTTTTCCAAAAATCCTTGGGGCCAGATGTGTTGCAGAATTTTTTTTATAGGATATGCGTACTATTTAGTATCCTATAGAGCCCTGGGTCAGCACCCCATAACTTAACACAGTATTTCTGCAGCAAAATGTATGAGTTTTCACACGTGAGGTAAATAAAGACAACAAATAGCCCCATGTCAGCTCAAGTCAGGTTTTACTACTAAGTAGTTTTGACAGCAAACTTATTTTAAAAAATCTGGTTTTCAGAGTTTTCCAGATTTCAGAATAGAGAATAAGGGATTGTGATCTATATAGATGAAGTCCTTACACGGTGCCTAGGACAAACTAAGCACTGTTTCTTATCATCAACACGACCACACAAACAGATTTTTAAAAACTATAGTTTCTAAAGAGGCAAATGGGCATGGCATTGAATAAAACTGAAAAGAACTCCTCTATCTACCATGTTCTGCCCACTGCTACCTGTAAAGGCAAGAAAAGAGTTTAATATTAAGCAAACAGAAAACCTCCCATTAGCCCTTAGTATTATTTGAGGATTCTAAATACTAAATTGAGCTTACTTGTTGGGGCAGTGAAGGAATAAATTCTGCACAGTTCTAAGTAAATTATCTGCATCACAACTGTGGATTACTAAAGTATTTGATTTTTTTTATTATTATAAAAAAAAGTAAGTTATCAAGAAGATACATTTAGTTTCTATCTTGTAAAAGGACTTGATTTGTTAAATGCTAGAACTGGCTATGTGTAAAAGCTATATGTTAGAAAGTACTTTAAAGGATCAAAGTTGCAGATTTTAATAATACAAGCAACATGAACTCAGGAGTAGAGGATAACTTATTTTATCTGTTATTTGAATACAGAAATGTTAGAAGGATGTCTCAATACTAAAGATTAAAAATATACAAATCATCCTTACAGACATTAGCAGTTACAATAAGTAAATTCTTAGTATAGTTTTCCAAAAATATATCTTCATTAGAAAAACTATGCTGAATGACTAATATATTCTTAACAATATAACTCATAAATTTGGGTTTATCCTCACTTTCTTAAAATAAGAAATCCAAAGTTATCTTCATAAAACAGTATTACTTCTTTCATTGGTACTGATGACTCTAACTTGTGTTAAAAATGAAATACATTATTACTATTTTAAAATCTTTATTCAAATCAGATCCGTGCTTATTGTTTACATTCTCTTTCATTTAGAACTAAAATATTATAGTATCAATCTGTAGTTTAAATCATACTTTTAGCCCTTTACAAAATATGTAATTAAAGTTGTTATACTTTCAAACTGACCTAGAATGGGGGAAATTAGTTTTTAATGAAAAATTATAGTATATGAGAACATAAATGTATACAAACTCAACAGAGAGTAAAACATCTACAGTCATTTCCTCCTTTTTCTTGTGGCTATTTCCTAAATACTATAAATCATGTACTCTTAATCAACATTTGAATAAATTTTCAATTATTAAATAAATCATTTGAGGATCATGAGAAAACACTTTTTCCTGAAGAGTCTTTTCATTTACTTAACTACAAAAGCTCATGTTTCCCGAGGTCAGATTATCCATATTTAGAATCTCCTAAATCACAACACACGTAGATATTTTCGTACATTCCACATGCTAAAAACACCGTACAACTGGAAGTTCTCAAAAAAGAGGCAAAGGAACAGTAGTCTAGGTTTAGCCTCCAAAGGGTTGGAAAGACCTCTGCGATCTGTGCTTGTCTTTATCTCCAAATGTCACCATTCACACCTCTTCTACTTTTTTGTATTTTTGAAATTGTTACATCTTCATGTTTTCTTCCAAGAATTGAGATATTTAACGGCAAACTACTTTCTTATTCATAAAATATACGTATTCTTTTACTAGAAAATGGATAAGGCATTTTTAATGACAACAGCAAAATACAGCAACCAATGTTCAACAGGTATTCTGCCACTTAGCAGTTTTTTTCAAGAAACTGATTCAGTACACCTGAATTTATCAATGTATCAAGTGATTTAACTAAATTCACAGTAGTCAAAATAAGCTCAGCAGGAATATCAGCTGTTAATTTGTGAATAAAGAGTAATGTATGATAAAGAAATTTAAATAGCTGTTTATTATTTTTTAAATTAAATAAACTGGAAACTAAAATTTTATTAAATCAATTTTATTGTAAGAAGGATTAAGAAAAAATAAATTGTTTAATATTATGAAATTATAAGGTATAGGAAAGAGTTTTATTTAAATCCTTTCTTGCAACCTGAAGGCTTCTTGTTTTTGGTTTTGGTTCACTGTTGGATATTTTAAAAGAACAATTTCAAAATTCCTAAACTCATAGTTTCAAATGCTTGACAGAATTCTTCAGTTTAAGTGTCCTCTATTTTCTAATTCTGTACATTTCTTATTGCTATCAGTTTTGACATTCTGCCCCTGAATACTTAGGAAAAAAAACCAAGCTGACAAAAAGATATTTGTGCTTTTTACCACTAAAATACAGAAAATTAATTTTATGAATCCGGCTCACACTCAAAGAATATTTACTGATGCTACAAATCAGAGATCTAATGACAGAAATGCTATCTGGAATACAAAAAGAGAGAAAATGAGGTCGCTCCAGTTCCCCTGGAAGCTCTCCAAAATTCTTCAACATGGCTTACATTTAGTTACACTCCAAAATACAAAATTTAATGGGAATTTTTATTTGTAAGTAAAGGCAGTTAACTGACTTTTAGTAATAAAATTATTAAGATATTTAACACAGGGCTAAAACACAGACTGGTTAAATTCTGAACAAACTAACATTTGGAAGACGGCATACCTATTTTTTAAAGCTATGCCATTCTATTTTTGTGTTTAAGTGTCAAGGAAAAAAAAAGGTAAATTATACAGAATTGCAGAATGCCAAATTTAAATTAACTACTGTAACTATCTTATATTCTAATATTCTGGAATATCAGTCAGTTTTTTAATGTGCCAAAGACATGGCTTTACAAAATGTAAGAAACTGTGTTAATAATTACATGCTTTTTACTAATTTTGGAGCCCTGGTGGCACAGTGGTTAAAAGCTCAGGCTGCTAACCAAAAGGTCAGGAGTTCAAATTCAAAAGCTGCTCCTTGGACACCCTATGGGGCATTTGTACCCTGTCTATGTAGGATCGCTATGAGTCGGAATCAACTCAATGGCAATGAATTTTTTATTAATTTTATAGGGCAGTAAATCAACACCTCTTCAAAATCACTTAAATGTTACTGATCCCATCACAAAATCATTATTAAGTAAAATGTTTCCACCATCCAAGTATGCCTAAATAAGTTCGAATAGCTGCAGCTTTCTCCTGACAGGTAACAAAAAGGACATTTGTTCAGACTTACTCGTAGAAGCTGAGTAAAGTGAGTTCATGTACTAAGTACTACACCAATTTCTGGCTGAGAACATGAAATTTAGAAAACTTCCAAACCAAAAAGTAAAAAATATTTCAATTATTCAGCCTTTAAATTTCAGACAGTGTATGACTTCTACAATAAAAAAAATTTAGTTCAAAATTTAATAATGGCAGGTAACTTTTTACTTGAACATTTACTGTACATTTTCATTCAACATGTTGAAGATGTAAGTGTAAAAGATTCCAAAGTTTCAATGTTAACATTGCTCTTTAAATGTTCTCAATATATACATACACATATAAATTATATATTTCTACTATACATATATGAACACCACCACTCTCCTTCCATAACCAGATTGATATGAGGATAAAGTAATAAATCTCTGTGCTATACAAAGCAAAATAAAATGGATGCTTTAAAGAATTAATCTTTAAAGAAGAGTTTCAAAAATAAAGTTCAAATATTGCACAAAATAATTTAACTGCAAATAGTACTGCACACTGTAAAAGTCATCTTTCACTTCCTGAACTCTACAGTGAATCTCATTTTGTAATTCTTTAAAAGAATTTATTGGAAGTCTTCATTTAGATATTACATGCTTACATTCAGTTTGATGGGAATGCAATTTTCAGAAGTTAACTGAGCCTTTGTCTTAGAAGTTCATCTATTTGAGTCTTATACATATTTTTCACATCTTCAAGATCTAGTCGAAGCTCTTCTGCCTCTTCTGCTTTTTCTCCATACATCTGCAGAATAGTGTTGTATCTTTGATCCAAATCCTACAAAATGTTTCCAATTTTTAAAATCACTGCACAGAAGATGTTTAATATTATCATAACATTACAATTTAAATAAAAGTATATCCTCATCTCTTTTAAAATTTAAGCTCACACTATGATCTAAGTTGGAAGGCCCAGCAAGGAAAGGAATTAAAAAAAAAAAAATCAACAAGTCAGATGGTTTTCAATCTTACCAAATCTCTCCACTAAATCTATAATTTTCCCCATACACGACTTACTTTTTTTCTCTCCCATCAATGTTAACAACACTCGATGCAATTTAAATCTCTTTGATTCATTGTGGGTAAGTATCTCCTGGCACTGAGCTCACAGGAAAAGTCAAAAGAAAATATCTTTTCATTTAAGGTTTAACATTGTCTCCTAAAATCCAAATATGCTAATTGTGAAGACACATATAATATCAGTGAATAAAATATTACTAATGTCATGTATTGTTGTTGTTAGTTCCCATAGAGTCAATCCCTATTCATTGAGACCCCATGTATACAGAGCAGAAGTGTTCCAAAGGGTTTTCAAGGCTATGACATTTTAGAAGCAGATCACCAGGCCTTACTCCCGAGGAGAGTGTGGGGTTTGAACTGTCAACCTTTTGGTTGGTAGTCCAGTGCTTAACCATCTGCGCCACCCAGGGACTCCATGTCATGTACAATGCAATCTTCTTGTAATGAGCCTTGGCCAAATCTATTTCTTCTCCTATACGAGTCTAAGCACGGCTGTGAAAAATACTGAGTAATGTAACAAGCAAAATCAAAAAAATTTGTCCCAAGTTCTTTACTTAAATGTTAAACCTCTGGTGTGTTCTAAACTAACCGCTGACCTTTCAGTTAGTAGCAGAGCACTTAACACTGCGCCACCAGGGCACCTTATCAGATATTAAAACTCTGATTTAAAAAAAAATCATTAAAAATATACTTTATGTAAACTAAAAATATGACATTTAATATAACTGTATTAAAATATTTTAGACTCATCTTTAACCAAAGCTTACTTACTCTTAGCTGAGTTCGAAGTTTGGGTATCTCCTTCACTTTCTCTTCAAGTTCATCATTTTGATGTGTTAATTTAACTAGCTCTTCAGCCATTATTGATCGGGTTTTTTCCAGATTGCCAATTTCTAGCTGAGAAACATTACCAGATAATAGTCTAAATCGAAATATATCTTGTTTAATACTCCCACTGATGTGAACACATTAAATGTGTTATTTTTGAAGGAATATATTTTTACTTACTTTTGAACTCATAAAGTTTAACACTAAAAACAGGTAAAATGTTTTAACATTTCTCACTGCATTTTATTTTCTTGTTGTTGAGAATATACACAGCAAAGCATACACCAATTCAACAGTTTCTACATTTATTATTTAGTGATACTGATTCCATTCTTTAAGTTGTACAACCATTCTCACCTTCCTTTTCGAGGTGTTCCTCTTCAATTAACATAAATTTGTTGTCCTCTAAACTTCCTATCTTTTGAGTTGCTGAAGTCAATTTGATCCCAGATAAACAGTTCTTAAAAAAGCATAATGCTCAAGGCAGACATTGTTTACCAGTTAAGCTAAACTACTGTTTGGTTTTAAGACTTCAGAGGATATTTTTGGTTTAAGGTTTAAAGATTATCTCAGGGCAGTTTCAAGGGTTTATCCACCCTCCATGGCTCCAGGAAGTTTGGAGTCCCTGAAAATTTGAAATTCTCTTCTGCATTTCCCCCTTTTGATCAGGATTCTTCTATGGAATCTTTGATCAAAATATGTAGTTACAGTAGCCGGGCACCGTCCAGTTCTTTTGGTCTCATGGCAAAGAAGAGTTGTTCCTGAAGGCAACTGGCAAGGACGTGGGGATATTTGAACCCTATTCATTGCTGGTGGGAATGCAAAATGGTACAATCATTGTGAAAAACAGTGTGGCAGTTCCTCTAAAAACTAAAAACAGAACCACCAAATGACCCAGCAATTCCACTCCTAGGTGTATACCCAAAAGACTTTAAAGCAGAGACTCAAACAGAGACTTCTACACCAGCGCTCACTGCAGCACTATTCACAATAGCCAGAAGGTGGAAACCACCTAAATGCCCATCAACAGACAAATGGATAAACAAAATGTGGTACATACATACAATGGAATACCACTCAGCCAGTAGGAGAAATGAAGTCTTGATGCATGCTATCGTATGGATGGAGCTTGAAGACATGTTGAGTGAAATAAGTCAATCACAAAAGGACAAATATTGTATGATATCACTTACAGAAAAAGACAAGACAAAACAAATGTATAAAGACGAAAGTTACCAGGGGCAGGAAGGAGGGGGAAAGGGAGGGTTGTTGCTCACGGAACACTAAGTCTCGGTTTACAGTGGTGGAAAAACCACACCGATTAATGGTAGGGTTGCACAGCCAATTATTTTAAGTGCTGTAAATAAGTTGTATGCCTGTAAAAAGCTGAATTGGCAAAGTTGTATAATAGACATACTTACAACAAAGACAAAAAAAAAAGAGTAGCTGCTGGGGCTGTTTATGTACAACCAAACACCTCATGGGGTTTGGTTCCTTGATTTGGAGGTTTAGGGTCATGATTTCATGGACATCCCAGTTACGTGGCCTAGTAACATGTTTAGTGCTTCTGTTCTACCTCCTAGTTCACTGCACACTGCCTGGGGTCTTAAATCTTGCAAGTGGCCATCCAAGGCGCTATAACTGGTTTCTATTACCAGGAGTAACAGAAGAAGGAGAGTCGGGAATAGCATCTCTCTGATGGCTAATGACAGTGAGCATCTTTTCATGTGTTTGGTGGTCGTTTAAATGTCTTCTTTGGTGAAATGTCTATCCAAGTCCTTTGCCCATTTTATGACTGGTTGTCTTTTTGTTGTTAACTGCATTGTTTTTAAAAAAGCAAGATAAGATGGGGAAGTCTCCCTCTCCACTATGCTGTTTCCTTCCATGTGCAGGGTGTTACAGTTCCAATCTCTTTCCTCCCCTTTATTCATTCCTCACTGGGAAAGTTGAGCAACTGTCTAAGTGATAAACTTGGGAAGAACAAAGTAGACATGCTCAGCTCAGCAACTTCCCTTTTTTCTCTTGGGAAAGAGCTGTCTGCAAGGGAGCAGACATTCTGTCCTGCTAGCGGCCTAAAGTCTTACCTGGGCAGGTTCTGACACATAGGCAGGCCTGCTCTAGCCCAGTGTTTCCTCTGACAGAGCAGACATGTCAGCCCAATTCTGCGATTCAGTTAACAGCCTCATTTGGCTCACATCCTTAGCTATTTTCCCCAACTAGCCTTTATCAGTAATATAAAGGATGCATTTTGTGATTCACATGCCACTATTTCATCGTATTTCTCAATCTGTTCAGAATTCAGGTAGAATTGAAGGGTGCTATTTATTGGGCCCCCAATTTTTATTTACTTCTAATAGTACATTTAATTTTTTCCAATACCTGCAAATGAGTAATTTCTCCTTCCCTTAGCTTTAGCTGAGACTGTAAATTCTCAATAATGCTGGATCCTGCTCCCATCCTTACAGCATCATAAAGATTGCTTCCATTTGCTGATGCAGACATTGGTCCAAATGAGTGATCATGAGGCTCATCCTATGTTAATTAAATAAAAGAAAGCACACACAAATATTGTAGATTGTGTTCCATTATAAGGTTCAAACAAAAAGGTTGTCAATTCTTGCTTTAAAATGTCTATGACTTTCTCAAAGGCAGAAATCATCTGTATTTCCTCACTGCAATTAGCATTCTTCACAAATATACTGATGAACTGCTATGGAATGTCAAGATCATGGTGATAGCTAGTCTGTCATCTATATTTCCCTTTACCATTACTCAGTTTAAGAACAAATCACGTATAAGAAATAAAACATCACCTGAGACAGAAAAGACGTTTGTAGCCCTGCCATATCAATTCCACTTATTGAACTCGAGCGTGAAACCGTGGGAGTACTAGAAACAGAAAATGGCTTGCGTTCCTTAAGGAGTAAAGAAAAATTCTGTTCAGATTAAAGAGCAAAAATAGAAAAAGCAAGAAAGCTTTCTAGGATTAATGATACAAAAACTCACTCTCATTTCCCCCCCAAAAAATGATATAAATGGAGCCCTGGTGTTATAGTAGTTAAGAGCTCGACTGCTAACCAAAAGGTCGGCAGTCTGAATCCACCAGCTGCTCCTTGGAAACCCTATAGCACAGTTTCTACTCTGTCCTATAGGGTTGCTATGAGTCCAAATTGACTCGACAGCAATGGTTTGGTTTGGTTTTTTGGTATCAAAGGCACAATATTCAGTAATTTAGAAGTATAAATAGACTTGGTCAAATAATCTCAGGACCCATTTACATTATGACAATATGATTTGGTTTTTCTTTTTAATGCAGTGAGAATGTTTTTTGTTGAAACAATTATATAAACTAACTTATATAACACGCCACCACAATTACACATATTTCTTTAGAATAAAAATTACTGATGAATTTTAAATACCATAAAATTTCTGGCTTATCTATTTTATACTTTTATTGTATTTTAAAATTCCAAATAAATTCCAAAGGTCATTTTAATTTATATATTATGCTAACCACCAACTATACTCCAATTCTCTAAATATAGGAAACTGACTTTAGAACAATTACTTTCATTAATCAGAAAGAAAGAAAACAAACCAGTTTTACTCCTAAGTGCCTACCGGTCAAATGAGGTACATTAGTTTTAGTGAGAAACTACAAAATTCATGTAAAAAGGGGTAAGAGGTTCTAGAATTCAAATCCTAAAACCACAGATCGCTTGGATATACTCAGATTACCCTGACTTACTCTGAGCAGGATATTGATTATACTGCTAGAACTCATCACTATACTGATTTTACACAGAAAAATGGTATTTACAAAGTATAAACAAAATTACATTAATAATCAATGATTAATCACAACCATTACTAAATGGTCATACCAGAAACAGAAAAACAAAATCCTGTACCTTTTCTTTCATTGCTTCTTGAGTGAAAATTGCTTTCTTCCTTTCTTGTTCAACTTTCATTTTCTCCATTTCTAACTGATTATTCAACAGTGTCTAACGGAGAAAGATAAAGTCAGATCATCTCTGTGATACTAGTTCATGCCATCCTAATAAGTCAATCTCAAAGTCTGGAGCATAAAGTATATACTCCCATTTGATTTACTACTAAAGGCCAAGTTCCACAAGCAGTGGCATCACCTACTTCTTCCTGGCCTCTCATTGGTCCACCATCACCCCCACCCATTCTCTAATGGAAGCCCTAAGAGGTGAGCAAACACTAACAGAAGTACCTTTTCTTTCCTTGTCTCTTCAAGTGTTCTTACATATTCATCTTTCAGGTTTTCTAATTCAACCTGGCACCTATCAAACCAGAGAAAAACAGAAAAGATGACAGTACAGACGATTAAAAACTCACTACTTTATTTACTCCAGTCATATCTCTTGTTGCTCTTTCCATGACAAGCTCTACAGCAAGGGTTTTCCAGCTGTGTTCTCCAGATCACCTGGGTTGGGAAAAAAACCTCTACTTTTATCCATTTTGTTTATCAGTGCTCTGGGTTCAGATTTCATTGGGAAAACAACTTTCTGAAAATAATTCTCAGTGTCACCATACTCTGGGATTCTGCAAAGACTCGTTAGCGAGTTCTATGAGAATGTTTGTGAAAGTTCAGATATTTTACTTTATAAATCATTTTTACCTGACTACCTCTTCTTAAAATTTCCAAGGAAGAACTCAGAGGGCAAAAATACTCTCACTGCAGCTTTATTATAATTTCAGATAGATAAATTTTACAGCTTGTAATTTCCAAAGAATCCAGACATTTATTTAGATAGGCTGGAATGCTGCTAAAACCCTTCTAATACAAAAATAACTTCAATGAAAGGTCATACGTTTTCATGGTTACAGGCTCTTTTGAAAAACTCTGATTAAAGCTATGAATTCTTTCCCTGGAAAAATGCACGAACATACAAAACATGGTACACAAAAGCCTATGGGAAATTTAGTGAATCCCAGTAATACTGTGCTATAATATCTTATTACAATGACCCTGACTTTCAACACCAGAAGTATTAACTTTTAGTTCTCAGTGCTATGAAACTCAAAGCCAACACTATACTTTAAAAAGTGCTTCAAAATGATGAGCAACTAACAAGAATAACACATGAGAAAACATGCTCACCGATTATTTTCATCCTCCAGTTTTCTCAGCTTATTTTTCTCAGATTCTAGCTGGGCCTGAAATCTACTATTTTCTTGTCTTAAGAGAGAGTTCTGTGACTCCAAGGAAGACATCTGAATTTTGTTGGCAAGGAGTTCTTCTGTCGCTGCACGTTCTCGCTCAACTGCTGCTGCCAATAAGGTCTGGGATTCACCTGATTATAGGATAAGAAAACAAACAAACATATATATATGCCTAAGAGGTCAAGATACCAAGCAGATTCAGACTTCAATCTTTTACTGATGCAAAAGCCACACTTAAAACTGGTAAGTACTTACTGTCTAAGGCAGGACTGCCTACTGAGACGAAAGAACTAATCTTAACTTGTACCTGCTTTATCGTTGTTTTCCCCAAGTGTTTTGAAAGTGGAATTATGTATTAAAAGTGTAGTTGATCACAAAATGATGGTGGAGCAAATTGGACATCCATAGGCAAAAAAAAATGAACCTCAACCTCAGCCTAACATCATACACAAAAATTAACTTGAAATGGATCATAGACAAATGTAAAACATAAAACTATAAAAAAAATTTAAAACATAGAAAATCTTTGAGACCTAGGGCTAGGTAAAATGTACTTAGATTTGATATCAAAAGCACGAGCCATAAAAGGAAAAACTGATCATTCAAACTTCATCAAAATTTTCAACTTTTGGTCTGAAAGCTCATGTGAAGATAATGGTCTATGAAAGCCCAGCTTTCTGAGCTGAGCCTGGGAGAAAGGACCAGCTACAGACTGGGAGAAAAGATCTACAAATCACATATCCAACAAATGACTAGTGGTACTAGTTAAAATATACCTACATATGTGTGTGTGTATCTCAAAATTCATCAATGAAAAAACAAACAATTCAGTTAGAAAATGGGCAAAAGATACGAACAGACATTTCACCAAAGTGGATATATAAAAGGCAAATAAGCATGTGAAAATATGTTCAACATCATTAGCCATTAGGAAAATCAAATTAAAACCAGCATGAGCTATCACTATGAACCTGTCAGAATTACTAAAAGAAAAAAAGAGTGATGACACCAAATGCTGGCAAGGATATGGAAAACATGGATCACTTTCATAGATACAGCCACTCAGGAAAAGTTTGGCATTTTCTTAAAAAATTAAGCATGCAACTACCATATGACCTAGCAACTGCTCTCCTGGGCATTTATCCCAGAAAAATGAAAAGTTATGTTCACATGAAAATTCATATAGGAATGTAAATAGCAGTTTTATCTGTAATACCCAAAATCTGCAATCAGCCCAGATGTCCTACATCAGGTGAGTGGATAAACAAACTGTGGTACTTACATACCATGAAATAACAACAGAAATAACAATGACAACAAGCCAAAAAACCCAAACCCGTTGCCATCAAGTCAATGTCAACTCATAGCGACCCTATAGGACAGAGGACAGAGTAGAACTGCCCCACAGGGTTTTCAAGGAGTAGCTGGTGGATTCGAACTGCCGACCTATGGTTAGTAGCCAAACGCTTAACCACTATGCCAGCAGGACTCCAACAACAATAGAAAGGACCAAACTATTGATACATGCAACAACTTGAATGAATCTCCAGGGAATTATGCTGAGCAAAAAAAGCACCTCCAAAATGTCACATATTGTCTGATTCCATTTATATAACATTTTTGAAATGACAGAATTTTAGAAATGGAGGGCAGATTAGTGGTTCCTGGGAGTTAGGGATAAGGGAGAGAGGGTGGATGAGGGAGGTGTGGTTGGTGTGGTTATAAAAGGGCAATGCGAGCGACCCCTGGGGTGGTAGGGCTGTTCAAGATCTTGACTGTGGTGGTGGATACACGAACCTGAACAGGTGACAAAACTGTATAGAACTTAAAACACACACACATACAAATGAGTACAAGTAAAACTGGAGAAATCTGAATAAAATTGGTGGATTGTATCAATGTCAAAACACTGTTGTGATACTGTACTATAGTTCTGTAAAATGTTAACACTGGAAGAAATTGGGCAAAGTGTACAGGGGATCTTCCTGTATTATTTCTTACAACTGCATTTTAATCTAAAATCACCTCAATAAAAATTTCAATTAAAAAAAGCAGGATTCTGAGATTTAACCAAGTCAAGAACTCTCGTATTTTTTTCTTCACCACGGTATACCTAACAACAGAGGATAAAAACCAACCTTGCCCCCAAGAAAGCTCAGCATGTCTCTTTAGTCTCATATTTGCACTATTTGTAAAATTTGAAATTCTGCTCCACACTGTATCTTTGCACTATATGTTGTATCTGTCCTATGGCCTTGCCTATATCCCAGCACAATACCACATATTCCTAAGGGTATGTAGACTCCAGTTTAAAAACCACAAAAATACTGGCTTCTAGCTTTCATTTATTGCTAAATAAATACTCATTTTAGAGGGTAACAATTTCAGATGTCTCATATTTCATATCTCAATTGGTCTCAAAAACATCACAGAAGAAACAACAGACCTAAAATTGATACCTATAAATTTAAAAAATATATGAAGGTTCATCTAGTTAAGTGAAGTTTTTTTAAGCATATGTGCCTTTTTCCAGACAAAATCTTCCACGAAACTCCAGTAAGAAAGATACACAAATGAGGTGCAACTTTCATTCAAGCAGCCTGGAAGAGCCCAGCACCTTACTGACTGAGCTTCCCTCTCACCATGACAGCAGCCCATAAGACAGCCTAGAGACGTACTGAATAAGGTTTGAAAGTTTGCCCCTCCTGATTTACAGGGAGGGGCCCAGAGAAACTAAGTGACTTGCTCCACACTGTGTGGCTGGTTGTTTCAAAACAAAAAAAACTAAGATTACAGTCCATGTTTCCTGACACCCATTCAGGTCTGCTTCTATCACTATACCATGATGTCCCTAATTACAATTAGTTCTGGACACAGAAGGTACACATAAATTTTTCATGAATTTTCCAGCTTCTGTGCTATCTAATATATACATATACTACCTGTCTGTGCTTGAAGATAAAAATCATGGAAGAATAATTTTTTTTTATTAACAAACAGCACCGAAGGACAACCTGGGGGCATGTCTGTGAAGAAGGAAAATACAGAATCTTAAGACTCCACAGCATTTCTCTACTAGGGTTTGATCCCCCCCTTAGACCTATCTCTGCTCTTGGAATTCTGCCACTGACTGGAACCCTATCTAATCCCTACCTCCTACACCAGTGCAGACAAAGTAGAGAGGAGTCAGATTTACCAACAGACAAGGAAAAAATTGAGTGCAGTAGTCTGTAAAAAGAAGTGAAGAATGACACAGAAATATTTTAGACAGTGTATGTTATGACACATTGGATGGGGGAGGGATGGTTTCAAAGAGCCTCAGTTAAGGTATTAGAATATAAATGTAAAAAAGAGAAAAGTTAAAAATCTACAAGTTAGACATAAATAGTAAATATCAGAGTAAGCAAATTTCAATTTCCTAACATTATTCTAATTTTATAAACAAGATGGAAGGGCTACTGCATCAAGCATAAAAACCAAAGCCGTTACCAAGCCTATCAGAAAGATTCTTCTCTAACTTCTCCCACGACGACGTCTGGGACCCTAAAGTTGCTTGCAAATTTTCTATCTGTCGAAGTAATGGTCTTGTTGTTGATGAAACACTTTGACTCAGTTCTTGGTTCCGATTCTCTGCTTCCTGTAGTCTCTGAATCATGAAATTCTTAAGTCATTACCACTGACAGCAAGAAAAACACTAGCAAGCCTAAGTGTGATGAGAGATTTATAGAAAAAATTTATTTTCCCTAAGATTAAATTATTTATTTTATTAACTTATTTTCTAATTGTTCAATCCTTAAGTTAGAGTTAAACTGTATAACAAAGTACCTAAAAAGTGCTTCTTTACAGAGCATTTCTAAAATAAAAAGATTTTAATTAAAGGTAAAGAGTTAATCCAAATCTCCAAGTAGACACCTCATCCAAAGAGATTTTTTAAGTATTTATAAAAACAGATCAATCTGAGTTGTACTTCCTCTTCCTTTTCCCATGCATATTTACTGAATGAAAATTCATAACGTAGCACTGGTACCAATTACTTGACCCACAATAATAATGATAATAATTAATAAACCAATTATTACAAATGAAAAAATGATACTATGCAGAAACAATAAATCTCTCATGATAAAATTACTTCATACAAACAAAATTAGGGACTTCTCTGCATAATTTTAAAGCACCCACTGTGATTTTATTCTTACAAGCCATAAAATATAGTAAACGAAAAGTATAGCAATAATCCTCTCGAGTCATTTTTTATTTATAGGAAAAAACATACTTCTTGGATTTGTGTTTAGAAAAACTGTGACAGTACCTGCTGGAGTTCACTGATCTCATGGCGTAAATAATCTTCTTTCCGGGCAGCTGCTTGCTCTGCACGTTGCAGCGCCAGCCTAAGGTCCCCCACCTGTAGAATGAGAAACCACACACTGTCAGAAATCGAAGTATTATAGAAATAGAAAAACCAACCCAGAACTTTATACGGAAAGGCAAGAGGCAGCGAATAGCTAAAACAATGCTGAAAGAGAAAAACAAAGCAGGAGGACTCATACTTCCTGATTTTAAAACATAATATACAGCTACCATGGTGGCACAGTGATTAAGAGCTCAGCTGCTAACCAAAAGGTCAGCCCACCCAACTGCTCCTTGGAAACCTTATGGGGCAGTTCTACTCTGTCCTATAGCGTTGCTATGAGTCAGAATCGACTCGATGGCAATAAGTTATACAGCTACAGTAATCAAAACAGCCTGGTACTGGTATAACAATACACAGAGGCCAACGGAATAGAACTGAGAGCCCAGAAATAAATCCACACATCTATGGTCAAGTGATTTTTGACAAGGGAGCTAAGTCCATTCAATAGGGAAAGAAGAGTCTCTTCAATAAATGGCGCTGGAAAAACTGGATTTCCAAGTGCAGAAAAAGGAAACAGGATCTATGTTTCACACCATATACAAAAACAAATTCATAATGGATTAAGGACCTAAGTGTGCAAACTACAACTATAAAATTCTCAGAAGAAAATGCAGGGGCGACGCTGTCACGCCTAGCTTTCAACAATGGATTATCCAATATAATAACGAAAGCACAAACAGCAAAAGACAAAGTAAATAAATGGTACTTCATAAAAAGTAAAAAGTTTTGCTCATCAAAAGACTTTACCAAAAGAGTGAAAAGACAAGCTACTGTCCGTGAGAATATCTTCAGAAACCACATATCTGACAAGAATCTAATAACCAAAATATACATAAAATTTTAACAACAATAAAAAGACAAATAATCCAGTCATAAAATGGGCAAAGGACTTGGATAAACATTTCACCAAAGAAGACATTCAAATGGCCACCAAACACATGAAAAGATGCTCAGCGTCATTAGCCATCAGAGAGAGGCAAATTAAAACCACAATGAGATACCATTACACTCCCACTAGGATGGCTATGACTTAAAAAAAAAAAAAAAACAGAAAATAGCAAATGTTGGCAAGGACTCTTACCCATTGCTGGTGGGAATGCAAAATGGTACAGCCGTTGTGGAAAACCGTGCAGATGTTCCTCAAAAAACTAAAAACAGAACTACCATGTGACTCAGCAATTCCACACGTAGGTATATACCCAAAAGACTTGAATGCAGAGACTCAGACAGACATGTGTACACCAATGTTCACTGCAGTACTATTCACAATAGCCAAAAGGTGGAAACAACCTAATGGCCATCAACAGATGAATGGATAAACAAAATGTGGTATATACATACGATGGAATACTACTCAGCCAGCAGGAGAAACAAAGTCTTGATACATGCTACAGTATGGATGGAGTTTGAAGACATTATGATGAGCTAAACAAGTCAATCATAAAAAGGACAAATACCGTTTGACCTCACTTATATAAAAAGACAAACAAAACCCGCTGTCGTCGAGTCGATTCTGACCCATAGCAACCCTAGAGGACAGAGCAGAGTAGAACTTCCCCATAAGGTTTCCAAGGAGTGGTAGGTGGATTCGAACTGCTGACCTTGTGTTTAGCAGCCGTAGCTCGCCACAGCTCTTAACTACTGTGCCACCAGGATCCCATAAAATGACAAGAAAAGGCAAATGTATGGAGACCAAAGATTATTAATAGTTAGCAGGGAGAGAGGGAGGGGAAAAAAGGGGGTTAACAGTGATGGAAAAATTGCACTGATTATGGGTAGGGTTGCACAGCCAATTATTGTAGTTGCTGTCAATAAGTTGTACACCTGTAAGAAGTTGAATTGCCAAAGTTGTGTGATAGATATATTTACAACAATGACCAAAAAATAAATAAATAAGTAGCTGCTGAGGCTGCTTATGTACAACCAAAAACCTCATAGGATTTAGTTTCTTCATTTAGGGTCATGGGACATCCCAGTTGATTGGCCTAATAATGTGTTTAGTGCTTCTGTTCTACCCCCTAGTTCATTATGTAGTGCCTGGGGTCTTGAAAGCTTGCAAGCGACCATCCGAGGCACAACAATTGGTCTCTATTTACCTGGAGTAGAGTCAGGAACAGGATGAGGATATGGAATGTGTGGCTAACTGCTTCCATGAACAACTGTGCCCTTTTCCATAAGACCAGAAAAATTGAATGGTGCCCAGCTACCATTCCGGAACATTTTGATCAAAGATTCCATAGAGGAATCCTGATCAAAAGGGGGAAAATGTAGAACAGAATTTCAAATTCTCATGCATTCTAGATGTTCTGAAACTATGGAGGGTGGATGAACCCCTGAAAGTATTGCCCTGAGATAATCTTTAAATCTTAAAGCAAAAATATCTCCTGAAATCATCTTAAAACTAAACAGTAGTTTAGCTTAACTAGTAAAAAAAAAGGTCTGCCTTGGGCATTATGCTCTTTTAAGAACCATCTATGTGGGATCAAAGTGACAACAGCAACTTGAAAGATTAGATAGGAACCTTGGAGGACAGTGAGTTGATGTTAATGAGGGAGGAACAACTCAGAAAAAGAGGGTGACAATGGTTTCACAACTCAAAGAATGTAATCAATGTCACTAAATTGAACATATAGAAACTGTTGAGTTGATGTACGTTTTGCTATGGATATTCTCAACAATAACAGCAAAGTAAATAAAATTTGGGAAAAAAATCAATGTATTATGTACAACTTCTTGTTGGCTGCATATTTTGTCTTATGTCATTTATTGTTCTGTGTAACACTTTATACTATCCAATGTACTTTTACATATGATTTCCACACATCCCACACATCAACCAATTCCATATGACCATCATACATACCATATATCAACCAATTCCAAAACTGTATGTATACGCAACACCTACTTCGGAAAGCACTCTGCCAGGCAAAGAAAAGTACACAAATATGTACCATCGACTGCCAGAAGAACAAACAAATCTGTCTTGGAAGAAGTACAGCCAGAATGCTCCTTACAAGCAAGGATGGCAAAACTTCGTCTCAGATACTCTGGACATGTTATCAGGAGGGACCAGTTCCTGGAGAAGGACATCATGCTTGGTAAAGCAGAGGGTCAGCAAAAAAGAGGAAGACCTCAATGACATGGACTGACACACTGGCTGCAACAATGGGCTCAAGCATAACAACAAATATGAGAATGGCACAGGACTGGGCAGTCTTTTGTTCTGTTTTACACAGAGTCGCTATGAATCAACTCGATGGCACCTAACAATAACATTATTCCAATGAACTTTAAATTTCAAATATTAATATTTATTTAATATTTACCTACCCTAGTAAATAGAGTGGCAGAAATATAAGGAATATAGGGACTGTGGTGTGATTTATAATAGCAAAATATTGGAAATAAGCCAAATATTCATCAATAAGAATTGGATGAATAAACAATGGGATATCCATATAATAAAGTAGTATACAACTGTAAAAAAGGAATAAAAAAAATAAAAAGTTCTATGTTCTGCTACAGAGTGATCACTAGGCTATGTTAAGTGAATAAAACAATGTAAAAAACAGTATAAACTATATTTTATGTCAGAAAGATGAAGAGATACAAATTAATATGGGTATCAGTGTATGCATATATATACGTATGTATATATGTAAATGTACAAATATGCTATTTTATTGCATTTACAAATAGAAACTCTAAAAAGATAAACCAAATACTAATAAAATTGTTACCTATAGGCAAACTGGAAAGGGGTAAGTTGGAAGCAAATCTTGTCTACATATATTCTGTTACATATTTCTCACTTTGGAATGACATGTTTTACATATTCAAAACATAAAAGTAAATCAAAAAGACACTGGGGTCAATGGGGAAAAATACTCTCTTCATCAAATGGTGCTGGGACAACTGGATATCCACATGCAAAAGAATGAATTTGGATCCCTTCCTCACATCATAGATAAAAAATAACTCAAAACAGACAAGACCTAAATGTAAGAGCTAAAACTATAAAACTCTTAGAAAGAAACACAGGTGAAAATCTGTGAGGTTGTGGATTAGATAACAGTTTCTTTAATATGATGTCAAAAGCATAAGCAATAAAAGAAAACAGATAAAATGGACTTCATCAAAATTAAAACCTTTTGTGCATCAAATGACACTATCAAGAAGGTGAAAAGACAGCCTACAAAATGGGAAAAAATATTTGCAAATCACATATCTGCTAGGGGTCTAGAATTCAGAACACATAAAGAACAATTACAACTCAAAAATAATAAGTAACCTAATTAAAAAATGACCAAAGGATTTTAACAGACATTTTTTCAAAGAAGATATACAAATGGCAAATAAGCACATGAAAAGATGATACACATCATTAGTCACCAGAGAAACACAAATCAACACTACAATGAGATACCACTTCATAGCCACCAATATAGTTATAATGATACAAAAAAAAAGACAACAAGTGTTGGTGAAGATATGGAAAGTGGGAGCCCTCAAGTATTGCTGGTGGCAATGTAAAATGGTACAAGTGCTGTGGAAAACAATGTGGCAGTTCTTCAAAAAGTTAAACAGAGTTACTATATAACCTAGCAATGCCACTTACTAGTATGTCCAAGAGAACTGAAAACAGTTTCACACAAAAACTTGTACGTGAATGTTCATTGCAGTATTCATAAGAGCCAAAGAGACTAAACAACCCAAATGTCCGTCAACTGATGGATAAATAAAATGTAGTATATCCATATAATATTATTCAGCCATAAAAAAGGAATGAAGTACAGATACATTCTACAACACAAATGAACCATGAAAACATAATGCTAAGTGAAAGAAGCTAGATACAAATGACCACATAGTGTATGATTCCATTTATATGAAATGTCCAGAATAGGCAAATCCATAAAAACAGCAAGTAGATTAGTGGTTGCCAAGGGCTGAGGGAATAACTGCTTAATGGGTACAGGACTTCTTGTGGGGTGACGAAAACGTTCTGGATTTAAGATAGTGGTTATGTATGGTTGTACAACATCGTGAATACCACTGAACTGTATACTTTCAAATGGTTAAAACAGTGAATTTTATGTTATATAAATTTTTATGCCAATTTAAAGCTTTCTTTCTTTTTTTTTTAATAAAAGGACATTGGGAAAGAAAAACATTCCCTACAATCTGAAAACAAACAAACCTAAAATATATATCAAGTTAAGTGACACATAACCTTCACAGAGAAAAACTATTTCAAGGGACTTCAGAACACAAAATATGGACTGCACACACTTAGTTCTAAGACCAAAAAAAAAGAAAAGCAAGGAAATGTCAAACTTTATTCAGTCAACTTAAGGTTAGTAATAACATTATTATTATCAATATGCAATTTTAAGAATAGTTAAAATAAAGCAAGTAAGTAACCACATAAATGTTAGGAAACAAGATTTTCTTGTTAGGAACAATATTTTCAGTGTAAGATAAAAGACATGCGGGTATAAAAAAAATCAAAAAACATTATTGGACAAACGGAAATGGGGAACCCAAGGTTGAGAAGGGGAAAGTGTTGACACATCACAAGGTTGGCAACCAGTGTCACAAAACAATCTGTATTAACTGCTTAATGAGAAATTAATTTGCTCTGTAAACTTTCACTTAAAGCACAATTAAAAAAAAAAAATTAAAACCCTGTAATGTTAAAATTAAAGTGGAAATATTAATACACGCTCATGATTTTTAATTCTTTTTAAAAGTATATATTCTCTGGCTCTGTCCACTGAAAAAGCCTAAAAGCAATGACAACCCATTAGTAAAAAACATTCCTAGCAACCAAATTGTGGTCTCTAAATACCTTTCCCCAATAAAGGGGACCAGAGCTACTTGGAGAAATGACTATTTCTAGATCTGGGGCAAGAAATGTGCAAAATGAGCCTGGGATATCTCACTGTGCTATCAAGGACTAATGTGGCTGTATGCATTTCCTAAACTGCTGTGACAAATTGGCACAAACTCGGTGACTTAAAACAACACAAATTTATTCTCTCACAGTTCACTGAGTTTCACTGACAAAATCAACCTGTCAGCAAGACGGTTCTCCCTCCAGAAGCTACAGGGGAGAATCCATTCCCTGGCCTTTTACAGCTTCTAGAGCTATATCCCTTGGCTCATCCTCCATCCTGAAAGTCAGCAGTACAGCATCTTCAAATCTCTCTCTCTGCTTCCATCCTCACACCACCTTCTGCCTTCTGTGTCAAATCTCCTTCTGTCTCTTATTTATAAGGAAGCATGTGGTTGCATTTAGGGCCTACCTAAATAATCCAGGATAATCTCCTGCTCTCAAGATCCTTACCATAATATCACATCAGAAAGTCCTTTTTTGCCATATAAAGTAATATTCACAGGTTCCAGGGATTAGGATTTGGATATCTTTTGGGGGGCCATTATGTGTCTCTAGCCTCAGTATCCAGGATTGCTCAGGAGGGAGACTGACACAGGCACAGAGGAGGAGACAGCCAAGACTGAGACTGGAATGAGGCAGCCATAGACAAGAATGCCAGCAGCCACCAGAAGCTACAAGATGCAAAAACAGATTCTCCTCTAGACTGTCAAAAGAAGCACAGTCCTGCCCACACCTTGATTCCAGCCAGTGATACTGACTTCAGCCTTCTACCATCCAGAACTGTGAGAGAATAAATTTCTGTTGTTTTAAACCATCAAGCTATGGTAATTTGTTACAATAGCTACAGGAAACTACAGTGGTCATTACAAAAAGTCACTTGAATCAGCTTAAAGGAGCTTCCTAGTGGCTGTTGATGGGATAATTTGAGCATGAATTAAAAACTACAACAGATAAAAACAAAATGAATATTTTAAATACCCATTAGTTCAAAAAGGCTACAGAGTTTGAGCAGGATATGAAAAGATAGTTACGATATTGCTTAGTAATCACTCATCAAAGAGAAATTCCAAGTAGAGGAAATAAAATGAGTAACAGTATCTTCTTTAACAATTGTACAAATAGTTGTAGCAATGGGAGACAGGGTTGTAGAGTGACTGTGCTACGGGCTTTCAGAGACAAGCTAATGAGTTGGGAAAGGTTGGAATGCTTTTGGGTAGAAGAATAACTTGGTCAAAGCAACACTGTACAAATACCCATGCAGAGAGGATAAATAGCATGGCTGTAGAGAATAAAAGCTTGGAGGCAGGCGGCCAGGCAAATTAGATGGCTAACACAGGCTAACATAACAATCTCGTCTAGGCCTGAAGTGAGAAGTATCTGAAAAGAGTGGTTCCTATTTATAGAAGAGCAAGCCAAAAACAAAACAGTTGTATCACTCATCCAAAGTCACAATAATGTAAGGCCAGAATCTTTTATCTGTAGAAAAAAATAATCTTATGCCCCTTTACAAAGCAGAATTCCAATTTCAGAATTCTTTGATTGTAAGTCATTTTGCATATAATTCACATATAGTTAGCCATATTCAAACTCATTAGTAAACATAATGGAAACATGGGGCCAATAACTAACTATACCCAAATTCTATTTGATTTTATAGGACAAAGCCTCCGTTTTTGTTTTTTACCTTCTTCTCAGGTTCATGGGTTCTCTTGAAATCATATGCAATATTTAGTATTTGTGTGCATTTCTCTGATAAAAAGGTCCCTAGCTTTCATAATAATCTCAAATAGGTCTGAAATTAATCAGAAATTAAGCAACACTGATATAATGTAAGCATCACTTTAACAACAGTTCAAAAAAAAATTGACTAAGTTTAACACAATTCAGTACTCTTTGAAATATGCTCAACAGAATTATAAAGGAAATATAACACATAAAGTTTGATTCAAGCTAGCTAATAAACTGGTTAATTTGCAAAAGCATAAAAAATGTTTAAATTCATTATCCATTGCTTACTTGAATCGCTAATGTTTCTTGCTGCTGACGGGCTTCCTCTTGGGCCTTCTCTAGCGCTGCAGAAAGCTCTTCTTTAGCTTTCATCTCACGGCTCAGGGCAAACTCCTGTGCCTCACTATCCTTTGCAGCATTGGCTTTGTGAAGATCAGTAAGTTCTCTTAAAAATCAGATTGACAATGTTTATTGAAAATAATATGAAGTAACACTACAACTCCAAGTTAATGATGTCTCCACGTACCACAGAAATCTACGGAATGAGGGAGAGTTTATCACATAATAAACACTGGCTGCAGTGAGTACTCTGTTGAACTTGCTCTGACCAGTACCATGCTCATCTATGGATAAGTCTGTCGTGTTGCTAGTAATCAGATAGTAAAAAGACTGTTTCTTCAACATCCCACCCTAATAGTTACTTTTAAATGGGTTGTGTATTTGTCCACTTTCTTACTTGTATGCACTATCAAGGGCAGCCTGAATACTTCGATTCTTTTCTTCAAGTTCATCCATGTCAACCTGAAGTCGGCCAAGATCCTTCTCTTGACGTTCTACCACAGAATTTAGTTTTTTAATATTTTCTCTATGTTGTTTCTCAACCTCTTCTTTGCCATCAAGGACCTATGTTATAACAAGAGATGAAAATATTTTTCAAAAAGTAACACATTCTGAAAAAAAAAAAAAATTTATTCTGGGAATCTCAAGAGTTATATAATTAAGAAAATTTTTAGCATTTGTCTGTTAGTTGGAAAACTTCTTCTCACATGACATTCCCCCATTAAATCATTCTAAACGCTCCAAAAACCATGTCCAACTGTTCATATAGGAAGTAATACCAATAGATATATGCAGTAGATGATGTTTAATATTCACCTGTTTTAAATGCTGCAATTCCTCTTCTAGCTCTTTAACTTTTTTGTTGAGCTTTACAGTGATATTTTCATTTTCTTTATCTTTAGCTCTTAATTTCTTAATGATGTTAGAACTATACAGCTGCTGTTTTGAAAGTTTTTCTCCTGGTAATGGCAAAAAAGTAAAGATTCAAATAATATCGATTCCCTAAGATTCAGAATATAATGTTTTATCTAACCAGTAACATAAAATGATAGAATTTTTAAAAAATCACGATTTCATAATCCCCATATAACAACTGATTTGGACAATAATCATTAATGAATGTAAAAATTATTAGGTACAAAGATTTTGGAGAATAGGATATTTACACAGTCTTAAAGAAGTATGCTCACATATTAGTTATTAATTACAAAGGAAAAACTTGCTTTCACAAAGGTGAAATCTGGCAATCACCACCTTAACCAAGCGTTCAATTTTGACACCGCCAATTGTGGCCCAGCCTGACATTACATGCCTACTGATATGACGGAATGGTAGGTACACTATGATCTTTCTAAGTGGAAATATTTTATTCGAATTTCATCATGAACAAACTGACAAATTCCTGAACATGGGACATTCTATAGGACAACTGGCCTGGACTCTACAAAGGCTTCAATGTCATGATGAACAGAGAACTATCCTAGATTAGTGGAAGACTTAAAGGGACAGAACAGTCAAATGCAATGTACAAACTTTGATTATATCCTGGGTAGGGGGGTGGGATGGGACAGATGACTGGCGATAAGGGATAGTTTTTAGACATAATGGGATACTTTGAAGACAAATGGGATAAATGAAGAACTAGATGCTAGATTATACTTCTAAATTTATTTTCTTAGGTATGATTATGATGTTGTGCTTGTGAAAGAATATACTTATCCTTGGGAGACGCAGACTGAGAATTTAGGGGTGGAGTGTTACGGTATCTGTAACTCACTTACAAATAGTTGAGCAAAAGGATCGCGGTTGTGTGTGTGTATGTGCTTGCACGCATATGCAAAAAATATGTAAAAGGTGTACAAGTTGTTCACAGCAGATGAATTCTAGGTAATGAAGTAATCAAGCATTCACTATACTGCTTTCAACTTCTGTATGTGTTTGAAAAAATTTTCAAAATTTAAAAAAATTTTTTAAATATTTCTGGGATATGGAGGCAGCATATAAATACTCCCACCTCAAATCATTCCATTTTCTTTAAAAAGAGGTTCATTAAGCAAGAAAACTTCAGCTCTCCCCCTACTAAATTACTAAATTCTAAAATACAGATAGTCCCCAACTTACAACAAATTTGGGTTACGACAAACCGCACTTATGACTGTCTGTTTTATTTTTTTTGCACATCTTATCGTTAGTACTATGTACTACATACAATGTTGCAGCGCGTAATTTGTTGATGTTATCATTCTCAGATGTTCACTCCCATATGTACAGTGTTATGACGTACTGTTCAAAACGCTGACATACATAGCAGGCTATGACCTGATCTACAGTGAAGTAGGTGTCAGTGTTGGGAGTGTTAACAGATAGAAAGTTGGGCAATGTTTAACCCTAATGACATATGACAACTGAAACATGCATACACCCAACAGCCGCTAAGACTCTGACTTCATTGTTACTACACTGATGCTGACTTCACTGTTGACCAGGCCTACAGTAGCGTGATCTTATTCAGCGTTTTGTACCATCAGAAGCATCAGTTGTTAATCTGAAGCTGAGTTGTTCAAGTTTCTCGAACTGTAACACCTGCACTGCTTATACCCCCAATAATATGTCTAGCAAAAGAAGTCATGCCACTGAAAGTTCTAACCCAGAAAGAAGGTGAGGAAGGCTCTGTGATAAGCTAATGGAAAGAAAGTCAGCAAAATAGCACGTGAGGAAGGACTGTCTCATTCGACCATTTCAACAATCATTAAGAACAGGATTTTGGCGGCAGTTACAGGAGCAATTGGTATAAATTTGACAATTTTAGCAACAAAGAGGCAAGCGACAAACCACGAGATGGAGAAACTGTTGATGATTCAGATAGAAGACCAAATCCAGAATAGGATTCCTATGAGTTTACTGACAATACAAATGAAAGCATGCAGCCTTTTTCAAAACCTGAAGGATCAGCAAGAAGACTACCTCAAACCCTTTACTGCCACCAACTGTTGATTTCATCGCTTCAAACACAGATTTGGCTTACATAACATGCATATAACTGGAGAAGCAGAAAGCGACAACGCTGAAGCTTCCAAAAAATTAAAAAATGGGCTGGACAAGGTAGTACAATATGAAGAATATCTACCAGAGCAGATTTTCAACACGGACAAAACAGGTTTGTTTTGGAAAAGAATGCCAGAATGGATCTATTTTAACAAAGAGGCAAAGTTGATGCCTGGTTTCAAGGCATTTAAAGGCAGATTTACACTACTGCTTGGAGGAAAAGCTGCTGGATTTAAATTAAAACATTTTCTTGTTTACCATTCTGAAAAACCCCAAGCATTCACAAACACTGACAAAAATAAGCTGCCTGTCTACTACAGAAGTAACCTCAAAGCCTGGTGGATTGTGCTATTCAAAGACTGGTTTTTAAGTTGTTTCATCCCAGAAGTGCACACCTACTGTCTTGAAAACAGCATTTCTTTCAAGATTCTGCTGCCACTTGATAATGCCCCAGGACATCCTCCTCACATAGATGATTTAAATCAAGATGTGAAAGTGGTGTTATCTACCTCCCAATATGACAGTTGTGATTCAGCCTATGGATCAAGATGCAAGCACCACCTTCAAGGCATACTACCTATGGACTACGTTTGCCCAGGCAATAGTTTCAACAGACGGAGGTACAGTAACATTATGTGATTTCCGGAAGAACTATAATATTCTCCGGTACATCCAGAACAGTGCATCTTCCTGGGGGAAGTTACAGGAAAATGCATGCAGGGGATATGGAAAAAAATGCTGAGTTACGTGAACATGCACCAAGCATTTGTTCAGGATAATATGATGGAAGAGATCGGTGGAAAAATTGTCCATATGGCAAGAACACTGAATTTAGAACTTGATACCACCAGTGTGGAACTGCTCATAGATCACAAAGAAGGGGAACTCACAGATCAAGACTTAATGAATTCTGAAAAGGAAAGAAGTGCTAAAGAAGAAAGAATGAGGAAGAGGACGGACAGAAGTTGGCAAAAAATTTTACAGTGAAAGGATTAGCTGGAATTTTTTCCAAACTAAATCAGGGTTTTCAATTGCTTGAAAAGATGGACCCAAATACTGATCACTACACTAAAGTTGACAGGCAGATTTGAGAAGCAGTGACATGTCACTGCACAATACATGAGGGGAAAAAAAAATGACTATAAAGAAAACTCTAATTTTCTGACTAGAAATGCCATCCTCATTACCAGGGATGATCCAGAACCTTCCAAAAGCGGAGTTATTACCTCAAATGACAAAATGCCAGCGTCATCCAACTCTTCTTCACCATTGGAAAAAATTTTATGATTTGTGTTTTTTTAAGTATGTATGTATTAAAATATGTCAGTAAGTTTATATGTAATGTTTCCAAAGGCAAATAAAAATCAGATTTATAAACATACTGATAATAAAAGGCAATAATAAAGAAAACTAAAAAAAAAAAAAAAAGAGGTATTCAACTTAACATCAGAACTGACTTACAAAAGAATCATCGAAATGGAACCCTGTCATAAGTCAGGGACTACCTGTAGTGATACTTGATATTAGTATTTTTAATAATTAAAAAAATTATAAAACTACACACTTAACCTTCCTCTCAGTCTCTAATGCTGTAACATAAGCAGTTATTAACTTCAAGATTTTGAGATAATGATCTCTATTTTATCAACTCTTCCATTATTCTTCTAGTTTAGTTCTTAGATTGTGTTTTATAATTATCTGTATACCTATACTTCTAGGGAGGTAAAAAAAAATAATAAAAACTCCCTCTGGAGCCACTGAAGCTGGATGAACCCCTAAAATTATTACCCTGAGATATTCTTTAAACTGTAAACCAAAATATCCCCTGAAGTCTTCTTAAAACCAAACAATAGTTTAGCTTAACTAGTAAAGAATGTCTGCCTGAGCATTCTGCTCCTTTAAGATCTATCTATATGGGATCAAACTGACAACAGATCAAACTGACAACTCAAAAGATTAGACAGGAACCTCAGGAGTCAGTTATTTTATGTTAACAGAGGAGGAACAACTCAGAAAAGGAGGGTGTGAATGGTTGTACAACTCCAAGAATGCAATGCATGTCATTGAATTGTACATGTAGGAATTGTTGAATTGGCATTATGTTATGCTGTGTATATTCTCAACAACCACAAAAAATAAAATTTAAAAAAAATAAAACAAAACAAAAAAAAAACCTCTCTAAAAAAAAACCTCTCTAAAAAACAGACAAAAGTTTGTGTGTCCTTAAGAAAACTCCTAAAAGACAGGAACTGTGTCATACTTATTATTGTATTAAACTCAGTATCTGACATACTAGTTGTTCAGAAATATTAACTAACTAAATGAAATGCTGAACAAATGAAGTGACTGGTTCTAGCTGTTTTCAAACATTATACTTGTTCTGGAAATTCACTTATTTTCAATGATTTCAGCACAGAAATGTTCATCTTACAGCTATTTGTAATATTAACATTTTAGAAATAAATGTCTAAAGGAAAAGAGTAAAACAAATTATGGTATATCCACACAGCAAACTTTAATACAGCATTAATAATGATAAACAAAGCATCTAATGGCATAAGGAAATGTTAAAAGAAAAAAAAAAAGGATTGCATTTTTATGTTTTAAAATGAATTGAAAAATGTATTAAAAAAAGACTAGAAGAAAATTTGTTAAAGAGTTCCTGGTTCTTTACAAGGAAGAATTATAATCTTTTTTTTTCTTATTCTTCACACATTTTTCTATAACAAAAAAATTCAGCAAATAGCAAGTATTTTTATAATGAGAAAAATTTTAATTAAGAATTCACTTCACTACTCTTTCCAAAACCTCCTCTCCCCTAAGACATTACATAAAGAAATTCAGTGTTTATTTGTAATAATTTATCTCCTGATGGATCTTTATTATTCTGGTAATTATAAATCTTTTCATAGACAAAATGCTTAAAAACTGAAAAAATTTTAAATGAATATAATGAAAAATCCACTATCAAGATGCCATAGCAATACAATGACAACCGTATATTACCTAAATTAGGGATTCAGATATTACATGAACCCCAGAATTATAATCTTCAAATATCTTGGTCCCAATGGCAGGCTTTCAAAACCGGTTACAAGCTCTTTGTTACGGGTGCACAAACTTCTGCCTATTTTTTTAAGGGAGTTATTTTTCACCCTCCTAGAAGCAAAAATGCTATTCCAGCTTGAGAAATACTGAGCGTGTTCTTCCCTTTTGGTTTTCTAACTCCAGGTCTTTGCACATGTCATTACAGTACTTTACTTTGCCTTCTCAAGCCGCCTGCTGAAATCTTCTGTTCAGCTCTTTTACGTCATCATTTCTTCCTTTTGTTTTAGCTATCCTACTATGCTCAAGAGCAAGTTTCAAAGTCTCTTTTGACATCCATTTTGGTCGTTTCTTTCCTTCCTGTCTTTTTAATGACCTTCTGCTCTCTTCCTGTATGTTTCCAACTTTTGCACCCTAATCACCAGTAATTATCAATGTGTCTTGAATGCATGTTTGATCAATTTCAGACTGCAGTAGTTGGTAAAAATCTTCACTTCCTTTATCTTTGCCCTTAGCAGTTGGTGTATAAATCTGAATAAAATAGTTGTAGTAACTGGTCTTCATTGTAGATATATGGATATTATACTATCACTGACAGCACTGTACTACAGGATAGATCTTGAAATGTTCTTTCTGATGATAAATGTAACACCATAACAACAGATATATATATATATCTGACTCTATGCATCTAAGTCTTTATTCTTCCATAAACTGTCAATTATCATTTCTGAGGTTTAAATCCAAACCTTCCTGACTTCCATACCTTTTATTAGGAAGTAGCAGTCATGTGACAAATATTTTTCCTATCTTAATGATATTTTTTACTGTTGCAAAAACACATATAACACAACATTTGCCAATTCAACATACTTCACATGTACAATTTAGTAATATCAATTACATTAATTACATTTGTAACCATCACCAATAATCACTGCCAACTTTTCCATCACCAAAACCAGAGACTCACTACCTCTTATACAACGAAGCCTCCTCTCCCCTCCCTCCCACCCATAGTAACCACCAATAAAACTATGTTTGGTCTCTATCTCTTTACCTATCCGAGATATTTCATGTACTATTCTTACAATATTTTTGATAATCAGGTAAATACTTTAACTTTACACACCTTCTTCCATTAATCCTCGGATCTGCTCATCTTTCTCTTTCAAAAGTTCTGCAGTTTCACTACTATTTAACCTCGTGGCAAGTTCTTCTTTTATACTTTTCATTTCCTAATTAAAAAAAAAAAATTGTGAATACTATAAAAAAATTACTTTATTCTAGTTATATTTTCCAATTTTTTTCCATTTTCAAAGAGGCCATCATTAATCACATTCCCTATAACCCACCGTCATCAACTCAATTCCATCTCATAGTGACCCTAACAGGACAGAGTAGAACTGCACCATAGGGTTTCCAGGGCTGTAATCTTTACAGAAGCAGATTGTCACATCTTTCTCCTATGGAAAAGCTTGTGGGTTCAAACCACCAACCTTTCAGTTAGCAGCCGAGTACTTAACCACTGCACCACCATGGCTCCTTATAGGAATCTATAAATTTTGTTTAGGTAACCTAAGTTTACTACTTTGGTTAACTAAGACCAAGAAAACAGCTTTGAAAATGACATGCAAAACCTCAATTCAGATATAAACAGGTTTTAATATGGAAATATAAATGAGAACAAATTAACTTTTAATACCCTTCTTCAATATCTCTGAACATATATTCTGCAGGTTAAAGACTGCATTTGGAACAACATTTCAAAAAGAACATGTCTCCATTTTTCACTGTATTTACTTTCCTCATCTAGAACTCTTTGCACTTATTAGTGTGATGTGAAATGGAAGGAAAAGCATTATAATGCTTCAATCTATTTCAAAGCACAGATTCAGCAGGACAAACAAAGTCAAGATAGTGTAACTTTTAAAACTACAAAGGTGAAGAATGGTGATGTGAAAGTGTTCTATGATTTAAAATTTGATTTAAAAACTAAGCTCTGAAACTAAATAATAGCTAAAACCAACCGACATTACGTATTTAAACGGTGCTTTGTATCCATTATCATTTAATCCTGACAACAATCCTATGAGGGAAGGACTTTTATGATTCAACTACACAAATAAGGAAACTAAGACCTTGGAAGATCAAACATTTAATAAGTGGTAGAGTTATGACTTCAACCCGGTCTGAGTCAGCAAAGCCCATGCTCTGAACCATTCACAACACTGCTATACATTTTCCAGCTGTCAAAATTTGATTCACTCATGAAGGTCCAGTAAGAACGTCATGTCTGCATCAATTGGTCTCAACCACCTGGAGTAAAGGAGAATGAAGAACACCAAAGACACAAGGAAAGCATTAGCCCAAGAGACAGAAAGGGCCACACAGACCAGAGACTTCATCAGCCTGAGACCAGAAGAACTAGATGGTGCCTGGCTACCACCAATCACCGCCCTGACAGGGAACCAACAGAGAGTCCCGGCTGGAGCAGGAGAAAGGTGAGATGCAGAACTCAAATTCTAGTAAGGAGACCAGACTTAATGGTCTGACTGAGACTGGAGGAACCCCGGAAAGCATGGCCCCTGGATTCTCTATCAGCCCAGAACTAAAACGATTTCCGAGGCCAACTCTTCAGACAGGGATTGGACTGGACTGTGGGACATAAAGTGATACTTCTGAGGAGTGCGCCTCTTAGTTAAGTAGATACAAGAGACTAAACAGGCAGCTTCTGTCCAGAGGTGAGAAGGGAAAGCGGAGAGGGTTAGGAGCTGGCTGAAAGGACCTGGGGAATCAGGGGTGGAAAGGAGCAGTGTGCTGTCACAGTATGGGGAGAGCAATCAGAGTCACATAACAATGCATGTATAAATTTTTGTATGGGGAAAAAAAAAATGCCCTCCTCCCTGAAAAAAAAAAAAAAGAGCGTCATGTCTTCCATAAAACCTTCCTCAGTTTCCCACTTCAGAATCCATCCTCTATGACACCATTCCAAACTGCTTATTCATCTCTATCTAGAATTTATTTCATTTTCTCTAGTAGGACATAGTTGTTGACATTATCTGTCTCTCATCACTAGAAAAGTAAACTCTTCACTTAAGGTAATTCAATTCACTTCGAATTTCCTATGGATCCTAAGCAGAGGGGTTATATATGGCAGTACACGTAAAATGCGCAAACTGAGTTGTACCTAAGTTCTGTCACATAGAGTTAATGGTTTGGATCTGTTTTAGGTCTACAACTCTAAATGTGCCAGTGAAAACAAACACTTCTTTGATTAGAGAGGTCCAGATGGAATACAGCAGGGGCAGAAAGAGGTAAAGCTGGTTATGTAGTCTCAAGTTGTTGTTAGGGTCTGAAATGAGCCAGCTAATAAAGCAACCAGCTAGATGGAAGTGTATGGTGTATTTATTTTCCCTAAGAGTATACTCAGAAAAAATATAAATACTAGCATTAACACTGAAGTTAATAAATATTAACATTATGGGGGAAAGCAGCCTAACGGAGAAAGGCAAATGGTGAGTCAATGTTATTACAAATAGTTGGGATTTGACCTTAGCTGGTTACCAATTTCTATAATAGCCAACTATTCCAAGTTAAAAGGATTAGAACAATGGTTCCCAGTCTGGGGCACTTCTGCTTACTGGGGCCATCTGGCAGTGTTTGAAGACATTTTCAATTGTTACAACTGGGGCTCATGCTACTGGCATCTTGTGGGTAAAGGCCAGGGATGCTGCTAAACAGCCTATAATTCACAGCACAGCCCCACACAACATAGAATTATCCAGCCCAAAATATCAATAGTACCAAGGCTTAGAAATCCTGCATTAGAATAAATCCATATTATGCCTTCCAAAACACAGTTAGTTACCATTATAAATTTATATTTTAAAATTATTTTGACTGGAATAAGCATATTTAATATGTTTGAAGTGGTAGAAAAATAGGATGTAAGAGTAATGACAAACTCTTTGATTTATATTGAGATTTAAGTGTTATTTATTCTGATGGAATTATCATTTACAAAAACCATCCTCAAGATCATTGCTATACACCTTGCCAGAATTGACACATAATTTATACTAATAAATATTTGTTCAGATTTTTTTAAGTATCAAAAATGTGTAATTTTAGCATACCAAAAAATCTATAATTTAAGTGTTAATATACTATTTGGAATCCCTTTATTTCTCATTTCTAATGCCAAAATATTATGAATGCATTACCAAAAATCTGTATCTTTGTATAGTTTCAATATTATTTTAAACTCTCATTACCTTTTTAGCAGCATCTCTCTCTTTGCAGGCTAGCTGGACTTTCTTTTCTGCTTCTGCAATTCTTTGAGTAAACTCATCTTTCAAGGAAGAAATGCTACTGCTTTCTTCTTTCACTCTGAACATTTCACTAAATTCAAAATAATATTTAAGAATAAGGATACTGCTTACATATTCTAAAGATAATATGATGAGTTCACATCTCAAAAGGAAGATAACATTGTCTCCAATACATACTTTGTTAAAATAGACCGGTTGAAGACCTATTCACTTTTAAGAGAAAAATTACTTGCTTCATTTACTTAACATATCTCAAAGAAAAGCCATTAAAAAGTGAAAACTTCACTAATATTTTATTAAAAATAAGAAAAAATACACATCATTTTTCATTTCTGAAAGTTGAAATGGATTTTATCGTTATTTTAGCTTGGGGAAACATATTTCAACCCTTTTGTGTAACATTTTCCCAGTAATCTCCTGAAAACAAACCAATATTCAGAATTTTTCAACTACAATATCGTAGTTTTCTTAAACGCATTTGTTTAAAATCTCTAACACTAAAAAGCTATTAATAATAAAGGCAAGGAGTTGGCGCTTTTTTTGTTTTGTTTTTGTTTTTTGAGAAACAACTCTCTTCAATGCCAAATGTCATCTAATAAAGATAATTTGAGGAGAAAAGTAATCTCTGCATAAAGTTAGAATTGAAATGCGATTCAATTTTCAATAGTTATAAACAAATTAAGTTACAAGTCATCTTAACTTACAAAAATTCCTTAATAGCAATGAAGTATATGGACCTCTACAAAGTGTGCAAAAATAATTATTCACGTTTGTGAAATACTTACTCTTTTAGATTATCATAGGCTTCTTCCAGAAGTGCTTTCTCTTTACTAAGAGATAATAACTGAGCCTCCCTTTTCTCCAGTTTCTCATTCAGAAAATCAACCGTCTAGATAAGAAGAATACATAAAAGTCAAAACATTTAACTTTAAAAGACCATTTTTACATGGAAGTGGTAACTTGTAAAGGCAATCCATTCACTATAATAAATAAAACAGCATTAACTTATAAAAAGAATTAAAAACAGTATTAGGAACACAGTGGATTCGGAACAAGAACACATACCTAGCTGGTAGGAGTATGAATCAGTACAGCCCTGTAGCACATGGAACATAAATTAGTACAACTAGCTTCGTAAACAATTAGGCAATATCTCATTGAAGACCTACATACTCTTTGATGAAGAAAATTCCACTCTGGTATATCCCAGAGAAGAATATTCTTGCATATGTGCACTAGGTAACATGTACAAGATCATTTATAGCAGCTTGTTTGTAGCAGCAAAAATCTGGGAACAATCTGAATGTTCACTGAAAGAAGCGGGGAGATAGATGCAATCAAGAAAGTTCAGGAACAGGGCTTCAAAGCCTCTTATAATGTTCTGTATCTATCTCATTTGGGCAGTGAGTATACAAGTGTCTTTTTTTATATACTACTCTTTAAACCAAATACAAAATATATACTTTTTTTAATATGATACATTTCATTTAAAAAATAAAAGTAATTTTTGAAAACCCACAGGCATGTGATTTTATAATCTCCAGAATGTACCAGTAGAAACCTAAGCAAAAAGTAATGCTTAAAATAAGTATTTCCTTAGCTCCTGCTGAAGCAGTAATACACTTGTATATAAGGGGAAGAAGGGTGCCTTTGGGACTCAAAATAAAGTCTTACCTGAATTAAATCTGAGATTATTTTAGATACCACTTACCTCCTTAAGCACACTGAAAATGGTTAAAAACTATCTTATCCATAGTAATTAGTGTTGGCTTTTAGGAATACAAACTGCTATTATAGCTTTAAAACATAATATGCATGGTATTTTGTTTGTGAATAATATTACACCTAGCTAAGAGAATCTGGCTTTTTTTTTAATATTAAATAATGCAATATATGGCACTTACAGGACATTTCTTCAAGACATCCTGTATTTCAGATGAGCCTATTAAATAAAGATGCCAGATCCAACTCAATTTCTGTATCTAAAAATCATAGGAAAATCCAAAACTGTGACTTAATGTTAAAGAATTTACGCCACTTTCCCTTTGCATGTTGTTTGGTAGAAGCAATTTGTCATTCCTAAGCAATGCCTTTGTTCCTTGGACATTTCCCTTTCTTATTCATGTTGATAGCTATCAATAAGAGATATCAAAAATACCACAAAAAGAAAACAAACTGAAGCAATTAATAACACCAGAAAAGCATCAATAATAAATCTAAACACTACATTTTCATTTTAAGATTTACCACCAATAATGGCAACATGCAAAAAAAATTTTCTGATATAAGAAAAAACACATATTTAGATTTATTTTAACATCTTTATCTGCAAAGGAGTCGAAGATGTTAAAATAAGAACATAGTCCTTTGTAAACCGACATGCTCATTAGCATGAGGGAATTTAAGGTGGTAAGGACTCACCAGTAAAGTAAGACGGTAAATTTTTCATGATTAGTTATGGCGAAATACCAACTTATTTTACAATAGTTTCCTTAGAGACATTTCAAATAATTTAGTATCAGTAGTTCTTGAATTTTAAGGTCCATAATGCCACACTGAAATGGCACAAAATCTACCTTTTTTAAGTAATACAAATCATTATGTGTCACCGACAATATTTTTAAAACAAATTATTTTATCTCTGAAAAGCATATCCTAAAATCCCCTTCTACCTTCTAGAATTACCTTGGAAACATCTTCCTTCTCAGAAAGTGCTTCTGGCTGACTTTCAGCAGCTTTGCTGTGCTCAGCCTCCTTGTCAAAGACAGCATGCCCTTCTTTTATTGGTGTAGAAGAAACCAAGATATCAGGCTGTTCACAGTTAACAGGAGTTGCACTTCGTCCACTTTCTTCCATTTCCGTTTCTTCATTGGGTATCACTGTTTCATTTACTACTTCTTCAGATTCTGCATCAACAGACTCAATCACCTTAGTCTTTGGAGTTGAAGAATTAACTATAATAGGTACTAAACTATATCCCTTGCCTGACAATTCATCATCTGAGTTGATTTCGCTTACACTCCGGCTATCTAATGACTGTACACTAAACGAGTCTATTCTTTCAAACGCATCAGATGAGCCGCAACTCTCATTGAGTTTTTGGAAATCATCTAAACGATTATATTCAGGACAAGCAGATGCAGAGAGAAGCTGAAAAGACGTCTGCATCAAGTGAAGACTTGATTTTGAATCTGTGGTTTCTTGTCTCGAACTTGCTGAGCTCTCACTTATTACACTTTCATGATCTAAAACTTCAATATCACTAGTGGTAGAAGTACCGGACGAGAAGGTACTAACAGGAGGAGAAGGTGTATTGCTCTGTCTGTCTTCATGTTTTTGTTCCTTAGGTTCCAAAGCCACGTCCTTTGTTTCTGCTGTGAGAGACTGCATGGAAATGTTAGATCCGCTTTCTGTAGTTGTTTTCACACTAATTACACTTTCAGATACTTTCAGATGTTCAGCTGGCACCTTCATGTCAGATTCTTGGTTAACAATTTCTTCATGCTTGCCTTCAGTTTTAGGTGACAGAGTATCTACTGCCAGAGTTTTCCCTGGTGCACACGGAGACGAGTCTTTTACTTTTGTCTCTGTTGATTCAGTTGTTCTTGACTGTCCAGTGTGCAAGGATTCCTGTAAAGTGCTTTTTACTTCATCTTCTGGTCGTTGTGATTTAGTTGGAGGTTTTGATACCACTGGACTCTTCTGAATGGTCTGGACATCTGTTGGAGAGAGAAAGGCACTGAAGAAATTTTCAGATTCATCCACCACAGTCCTCCGAACTGGCTTTGTAATTGCTTTAGGAGACGCTATCGGTGGACTCTGAGGTTCAGTGCTTGATTTTAAGCCCCAAGCTGAAGTATCCCATCCTCCACTAACAGAGGAACTTATTCCTTTGACAAAAACAAAAACACCACGCATTACATTATTATTTATTATAATGCAATACAACTATAAATAAAAAGAAAGGAAAACTATGGAATACAACCTGTAATTTGCATCTTTTAAACTCCTTGCTTACTACATAATTAATTAGTTGCCAGGTTAACTTGGGCCTTAAAGAGGAAAACTGGTGTGGAGCTAACCCAAGAGACTAGAAACACAGTAGAAGACCCAACCTGGCCTGGCCAACCAGAAGCAAGTACAGCATGTTATTCCCTCCCACAACAAATAAGAAAGTAACGGCATTTGTTATATAATCCATGGGAAGTCCAAGATACAGATGCTTCACCTCACAAGAACATGCACCTCACAGGTGACTGCAAAATGACCCCACCTACTATTCAGTTTCATGTTAATTTCATTCTTGCAATATCAACAAAACACAGTCATAAGCTAAATAGAGGGCAACACTCAAAAACTGAACCCAAAATACTAGTGACAAACATCCTTTTCCAAAGACAAAATCAAATTGATGGGAACAGTAACTTCTAGAGAACAAATTCATTTTCATCTACTCTAACAGAAAAGTTTTGTTCTCAAATTCCAAAATACGTCAGCAATTAGGAGAATGTCATTATGAATTTCAGAAATGTGCTTTTTATTGATTTTTTATATAGATGGTTGGTGAACTCATGCGTGTCAAAGTAGAATTGTGTTCCACAGGATTTTTAATGGCTGTGATCTTTCGGAAGTAGACTGCCAGGACTTTATTCTCAGGTGCCTCTGGGTGGATTCAAACTGCCTTCCGGTTAGTAGCCAAGGGCAAACTGTTTGTGCCACCTAGGGACTCCATAGTTTACACTACGATTTAAAAAAGAAAAAAAAAAACAAAAAAACAAAAAACAAATCCACTAAGGAGAAAACTACGTTCCAGATTTAAAAAAAGGTAATTATTACATCAGTCACAGAAACAGACACTACTAAAGAGCCCAACGATAAACAAAAATGGCATATTGGCTAAAACGTTTAAAGAAGTCCTTTCTTCCTTTTCTAAATTTAAAAGTGGCTGAGCAGAATTATCACAAATTCTGCACAATTAGAAGTTGGTGGAAGGAACTCAAGTAACTAAAAGCTCCTAAAAACCATCAAGCCCTATTAAAGTCTATCCCTTAATATGACATCAAAGGCGATTGGGATGAAAAGTATGCAGGAAATCTCAGTTCGGGGACATAGTTTTATGTCCATTTGTGCAGTATATGAAAATGGGGGGTAAAAAAAGGGAGAAAATTGACATTAAAGATGCAAATGAATAAGCAAGATTAGGCCTGCTGATTACATTTATTAAGTCATCTTAATGAATGACAGCAGCCAAATTTGCCTCTTGGAGAATATCTTCTATAAATTCTAGGGTTATCTGATATCCACTAAAATTACTCCATTCTGAAGACTTATAGTCACCTCTGAAAGACTGCAATCAAAAACATAGTAGGTGATCACTAAAAGTTTATAACATTTCACTAAAACCTAAGACTATTCCAGATAATCTGTTTTAAAAAATAAAAGTATATCGCACAATTCAAGCCCCAGTTTTCAGAAAACAAACATTTCTGTATTTAAATATATTCTGTCTCCTCTAAAGTTTGGTAATTGAAAATGTGGGTTATCTAAGAAAAAATAAGGTCATGTAACATCTTGTAAAAAGCAATAGGATCAAAATATCTTAAAATGAGCCACCTCAAATTTAGGTTCTGACTTTTCAAGACGTAAAATTAAAAACAGAAACCATAAAAGAAGGAACAGTCAAGAATAACTTACTCTTTTTCACACAAAGGTTCACACCCCGCAAAACCTGCAAATCTCTACCCCACACACCAGAACGTTAAACTGTTCCTTGGACTTAAAACCAAGAGTAAAGATTACCCTCACCGAATCCGACAAACAGACATGGCTATTTAGAAATAAAATGTGATGCAAACCAAAAATCTTGGGCCATAGTTTCCTTGGGTAATACCTCCAGCATATTCAGTCCTCCACTCGCTGTGTGACTCAAGGCAAGTTACTTAGCCTCTCTGAGCCTTCCTAAAACCCGGAAAATAAGGAAATCTAGCTCAAGGGGCTGTTTTGAAGACTAGAAAGCCATAAAGCACATCACACGACGCCACGCACGAAATGCTCACTAAATATTAGCTATTGTTCCTCCTACCCCTGCTGATTAGCCTCCTTCCGATCTCGGCGCCAGAGTGCCCAAAGCGAGCCGTCAGGGGTGCGATTCGAGGTTTGGAAAGGCTATGTTGTGCTTGCAGCCGTGTCCAGGGAGGGCGGTGGGAGGCCACCGACATCAGCCCACACCCAAGGCCGGCCAGGGGCAAGAAAGCGCCCGGGCTTGGGTTTTCCTCAGGAAAAAAGCACAGACCGACTCACAGACTACAGAAGCACTGGGAAGGGAACGGGCCGGGGAGAAATCGCTTCCTCCGACCCCAGCGAGGAAGGGGTGTCACTTAACCTGTCTGCTTCGGAACTCACGCCAGCGGAGCCCGTGGACGGCTGCTCCTACTTACCCGGCTCTCCGTAAGGAATGGTGTCGGTCCAGGCGCTCGGCTCCTCTTCCTGGATGTCCAGCACCCTGTCGATGGACTTCTGGGCCTGGGACAGCGCCTGTTTGGCGAAGCTGGAAAGCTGGGAGGCGTTGAACCAGCTCATCTCCCCTCCTCAGCCGCATAGACGGCGGCAGCTCCGAGGAAGAAGGCCAAGGGGCCAGGCCGCCCGGGCTCAAGCCCGGGGAGGGGTGCAGCAGACGCCCTCACCTCCTTGTCCCGTCGGCGGGCTGTCAGCGGGGGTCCATGACGGGACCGTCTCCCCCGCGCCAGGGACCTGACCCTCTCAGCCCTTCCCGCACAGCCGAGGCGGAGGGGCGGTCTGCGCATGCGCCACCTTCTTCCACGTACACAACTACTGAATCCCGGAGCCCAGAGGTTCCGTCGAGTGACGGAAGAACGGGGTCTAGAACGTGGACGTCACATCCGGAAGCCCAGAGTTGCCCTTAGTTACCGAGGAACGCGGAACGACGGTTCCGGCAGAGCACAGATTCCAGACGCAGAATGGGCAATCACCCAAGGGCAAAACTGTTGTTACCACCAGAGGCGATTCCTCGAGAGGAATAAGAGTTTTCTAATGGGTTCCTTCCTTTACGTGCTAAAAGCCGGCGCTCTGCCAGCAATAATTGCAATAATAAAAATAAAAAAAAGGAAGTTCAGGTCTCACAGTTCCTTACTCTTAGCCTTTTGTCTTAAATATTTTAATCAGCTCTGTGTTAACTTGGCCTTAGGGAGGGACCTGGCTTGAGTCTGCGTGAAAAGACTGAAGATTGTATAAGACTTGACTCAGCCTACCGCACAGAAATAAACAGCCACCAAACCGAGTAACGGTAGACGTAAGTTCACACATGGACATTGTCTCCAAACGGTAGAATAGGTGGTGCATACGGCCCAAGCTTCACCTCACAATGGACACCCACTGCCCTAGTGAAAACCAATTTGAGAAGCACTAAAACTTTCCCTATAAATGTGCATTGTACCTATTACTTAAAATCTATCTTTTTCTTAGTGCATTATCTTGGCAAACATTTGGCCACATGAAGAAATCTTACATTTCTGGCCTTCCTATTTTGTCGCAGCTGTTTGGTTTGCCCCTCCCCACCCATGTTAAATATAAAATTCTACCACTATCAAAAAGCCAAATTTCATGCAAAAATCCAGATTTCCAGCTTCTTTTTAAAAATTGGATACCCATGCGGCCTTAATACACACTCCCTTGCTGTGGTTATTTGCCTTACCTGCCTGTTCCCCATAGCCATTTTCAGTATTTTACCCGACTGTACAAGGCACTGTGCCATAAAGGAATTTTTTGTTCCTTTTAAAAAAAAAAAACAAACACAGATTAAAACCCGGCTCTTGAGACTTATGATTGTCTTCCAATCATTCTATATAATGTCAATAAAAATTTGCATGTAAAAACTTAAAAGTTAGTAATCTACACAAGTAGCATTAAGTAGCTCAGGTACTCCCAAACAGCTCAGCTGAGTAGTCTGAGGAAAAGGTTTGGGGCACGTAAGGGCTGGAATCCCTATTCCAAAACTCCTTATTGCACAGCTTTGGGTAAATGACCTAAACCTAAAACTATTCAGCTCTCAAATGTGGACACTGTCACCTTCTCAAAAGGCTATTTTAAGAATTACTATATACCACCTGTATTTAGGAGGTGTTAAATGTCAGCTCCTTCACTTTCAAAAATTTAAGCTGAATCTATAACTTTTTAAGTAAAGCATATACATTTATCCTGTATGGTTACTAATAAGATTTAAATTATATTTGTCAATATGGAGCTAGAAAGAATAACAAATGAAAACCCAGTGACACGTAATCACAAAGTTCTTAAACTAAAAAAAAAAAAAAAAAAAACAACTGTCTCTATGCCAAGAA